CACCTGCCTACAACAACATTACAAAGAAATGCCTACTTTGGCTACACGAAAAGGTAGCAATAATTTTTAATACACAACAAAACAATTTACTAAACATAAGATCAAAAATAATTTCTAAATGCAGACATGTAAACAAATACTTACCAGAATTTATACCAAACGGATAAAAAGAACACCAACCAACACTACTACATAAACCACCATTGACCCTATGAACATGATAAGAGAAATCATTGACACCATAACACCATCAATTATTTTCTAGTTCAAACTATCATCATAATAATTATAATTTTAATCATTGTTATTATCATTCCACCACCATTACTACGATCACCACTTTACAATAACTATTTACTGCTACAGTTGTTATTACCATCATCTGCTCCCACCACCATTACTATTATATCACAATTACCATTGCCGCATTAGTCCATATTTACTAGGGCACTATAATTACCGTATCAGTCCACAATTATACTTACTTCTCCCTACTTCACCAAATTAATACCACAGCATAAATACTAATAAGTATTACAAATTGGAGTTTCTACCATTTACATTGTTTTGACTGCTTGATATGAAAACACGGAAATAATATATCAGAAACTCTACTTGATTCAGTAAGAAAGAAAGAAAGAAAGAAAGAAAGAAAGAAAGAAAGAAAGAAAGAATTGTTTAACGTCTCCTGCCAGTTACTCATAAATAATGGACTATTCAATTTTGCTTGTGTGGAAGAACATATCAAAAGCGCTACTTGGTTTCAGTAAGAAAGAAAGAAAGAAAGAAAGAAGGAAAGAAAGAAAGAAAGAAAAGAGGAAAGACTAGAAAATAGAAGTCTTTAATGTCTGTTTCAGTGAAAAGGAAAAGATTGTCAATTTCAAATCTTTTCATGATTGTTATTGCAAATTTTTTTAACGCTGTTAATCTCAAATATTTAACGGTACGACAGTGAATTTCTACGGATATTTTGTTGTCTTCGACCTCTCCATGAGATTATTTACTCATTAACTTATGAATTAAGATCCATCTGAATATTCAAATAGGAAAACCGTGCCCCTTTTCATTAGTTAGTTCCTTAGTTTATTCACACGACCATTACGCTTTGCCATTACTATTGTGTTGCTGCTCCTGCTGTCGACAAATCAAAGCGATATAACTACGAAAGAATATAATTTTAACTATGCTATAAAGCAATCATTTAATATTTCATGGAGTCGGAAGACCTCAAAGTTATTAATTTCAATGAAAAACAATAAAAACCGTGGATTTTCTACGGATACTGCTAGTTATTATTATTATCATTATTAGAGTTAGACAGTATGGAGAGACACGCTGGTAGCTTAAAGGTTATCAGAACTAAAACTGGAATCGATGAGCAGGAGTCAACCACAGCCGAGTTTGTTGACTTCAGTTTCTCCAAGGAAAGTTAGGAATCCATTATTTTTCCTTCCATATTTAAGTAACAGGCTTCACTGGGCTCATTAGTCTTGGGTGGCAGCCAGTCTAATAGAAGAACAATTATGAAGTCAAAATTTCGCAGAAGGCAAAGAGAATCCATTAAACTATCTTTCCCAAGAAAGCATGGCAGTTGCCAGATAATAAAGAAAAAGAATCTGCGAAAAGTCATGTTTACCTACGCTCGGAAGAGACATGATAATCTCTGTCTGAATGTCTGGGATGAAGATTTATCATTCTTTAAATTATCTAGACGTTGACTATTGTTCACATTTTTTTTATTATCATAAATTTTCGGGGGCTTGTGTCCTCTATATCTTTATCTATTATGACCGGCCACTATTCGTTTCCGAGCACACCCATCTACAAAGGGCGGTTAATCCAACCTTATTATTAGGTTGGTGCAAAAATAATGACGTAAGAATGTCGTTTTTTGACGTTAAAAAATGCGTCAAAAAACGACATTATTACGTCATTATTTTTGCACCAACCTAATACAAACGGCTGCTCTCTTGTTTATATAGCTACTATGCTGAGCAGAAATTAGTTAAATTTTCTGGGAGAGATTGCATAATGTGAACAATTATTTGAACAAGATCAATACACTGAAACTATCGGTCACGATGACTTGCTACTTACGTGCTTCTGAACAATTTCGACGAAATCTGATCATTTTTGTCTAACCAATTTTATTCAGACGTCTTTGGGGAAATCTTAGTATTGGTTTCATGCACTTTCCAAGAGTTTCGGGCGCCAATCCGCCGCCACAGATCGATAACCCCAGAAAGTACTGTAAATATGACAAAGGACCCATATGTGGTTAGAATTAATGGCGATAAGTAGTTGCTATACGGTGAATTGACTGAAGGAAAAAGACCAGCACACAAGCCAAAATTAAGATATAAAGCTTGCATCAAGAAAACACCGATGAAGGCCAACAATGTAAAATGACTGGGGAAAACCTTACTCTAGATATGTGTTACCCAGTTTTTTTTTCAACCAGCGCCCCCTTTGGGAACGAACGTTTTGTCACCCCTACCCTATTAAATTTCTAATATTATACAGAATTCATCTTTTATATCAAGATCACACTTAGGTATTAGTGCAGAAATATTGTTAGGTTTATTAATATTGTTTTCATTTCTATTATAAATGCCAATGATTAAAATACTAAATATGTATTTGATTGTTCATCTCATTGTTTTTATAGTGATGGCTGACTTTGGTGTTTAATGGCTAAAGCTCTTACTCTAGGTTCCTGCTGCTTAGTATTCGTAGATCTCCTCGCTTTGTAATTTACAGGATGTTTTTTTCTTTAGTAAGAAGCTACGTAACTGCGTTGAAACCTCATTCAGTCATATAAGAAGTTGAAAAAAGCAATGAAGACAAGTTCCCACAGCTTTAGATAACTTTCAGAAATTACCTTAAATAGCCACCCTGAGTATGTTCACCGCTCTCCACATGAAATAAATCTCTCAGTGCCCCCTTTCAACAGAACAGATCCCACGAAGGGGAACAAGTGCTCACGAATGGTAACACGGCTCTGGATCGTTCATTGTGAAGAGAAGCAGTGCGCAACGGTCAATGAGACAAAAAAAAGCAAAAAAAAGAGAAATATTCGTAAGGATATTCATGTCAATTTCTCTGAAAATCTACAGGAAGCCGTGTTTGCCTACTTCCGGAAGTGACATAACAATATCTATCTGAATTTCAGGGATGAGGATTTATCATTCTTTAAAATATCTAAACATTGACTATTGTTCCTATTTTTGTTATAAATTTCTAGGGATTGTACCTTATATACTATACCTCTATATATCGTGACAGGCCACTAATCGTTCCCAAGCAGACCCATCTACAAAGGGCGGCTAGCCAAACACTATTACAGACGGCTGATCTGTTGATTATACAGCAACTATGCTGGGCAGCACTTAGTTACAGTATCTGTGAAAGAGTACAAAATCTGAAAAATTATTTGAAAAAACCATTGGTCACGATGACTTGCGACTTACGTGCTTCTGAACACTTTATGCGAAATTTACGTAACAACTACTGTAAAAAAAAAAACACATTTGGGCAAGATAATATAAGACTCTATCAGGTCTAAAAAGCCACATCTGCGCTGCCCATATATGGAGATAAGGATGAATCTCTTCAGTCGACATTGTTGACTGGTCTGTCCAGCAGGATACGAGATAATGATTTGCCGACGACAGAAAGAAGGCATAGCCTATGGTATTCCCCACAGTAATACTTGCGTAGGCAATGCCTGCAATCGCTCTTCCTTTTACGGACAAAAATATCAGTACAACGTTTCAATCATCTGGTAAATTCTCTTCTATCCAAACCCCTTTGTATTAGGTTAGCCAGATGTTGAACCAGATTTTCACCTCCGCATTTCAGGATCTCATAGATATCGTCTATGCCAGCTTATTTTCTACTATTTAGTTATTTATATCATTTTTTTTTTTGACATCCTCAATTGAAGGAGTTTCTGCCATAACTTCGTTGCTGGGATTGTAAGGAATCATTCACTTGAGAAGGTCTAAAAAGTTTTCTTGTCAATTTGCTGATGTTCGTAACTCAAATAGATATTAGTTGTTTTTCGAAGCGGCCTCCAAAAAAATAAAAATAAAAAATAAAAAAAAAACAGATTTTTAACAGAAAAAATGTAAACATTGTTTAAAACTATTACGGACATAAAATTAACTAAAAATCGATTAATCTTATTTTTATATTATATTTTTCTATCGACCATCTTTTTCAAAATGATGGCGCTTTTATGTATTTATATTTGTTTATCTTTACATCTATTCTGAAAATTCGTAAGGCCTTGTTTTAATTTCTGTCATGATTTGTTTATCGTTACAGTTAACTACCACTAATATCGTCATTTTCTCCATCATTTATCAATGTTAGTCTTAGCTTAAGGAAATATACAGCTTATTGTCTTATAGTATGTTGCTGGAAAAATATTGATTTATAAACTCGGATTATCATAAGCTTTAATTAAACTCCGATTTCTTTAACTAAATTATATATTTTTTTCGGATATTTATTCCACAGATTTCTAACTTATCGATATTCCTATATGTTAAAACTTGTACAACGTATCCTGTCTTTTCTAGTAAATTCTGTTCTTTTCTTTTATCTATTTATTTATTTACTTAATACTTATTTAGATAGATAGATAGATAGATAGATAGATAGATATATAGATAGATATGGACAGTGTGTACTTAGGAACTAATACTGAATGGTTACTCACATTTTCATGTTTCTATGCAAGCCTGACGCTAAGTATCTTTACTCCTTTGCGGGCAGTATATACGAGGACTATTTATATATTTTATTAAGAGAAAGGGGTAGAGGAAATAGGCGGTACCCACTTTTATTTTGATTTTGTTATAGAACCCGCTAAAGAAAATATGAAACTAAAAGTGACCATTCCGTGTTGATTCCAACGTCCATACAGTTTATGTTTATATACGTCATGATACTGAGCACCCTTCACCTATAAATATAGCAAACCTTTGAACAATCTATTTAGATAGATAGATAGATAGATAGATAGATAGATAGATAGATAGATAGATAGATAGATATAGAATAGAATTAGATAGATAGATAGATAGATAGATAGATAGATAGATAGATAGATAATGGGTGGTCACTTGTTTCCAAATACATCCGCCCGCTACAGTGGCTGATGCAGACACCTGCTCAGTCATATTCATGCTTTATTTAATAACCACAGAGCCAACCCGTTGTTTATAATGCAACTATTTTTCGTTTTTTTTTTTTTTTGTATATCGGTTTCACCCCATGTAAGGTAATAAAGTCACTAAGACACAAGGGGTTACAGGGTGTGGAAGAATTACGAACAGAAACATTAACAATAAGCGGGAAGAGGAAAGAGTAATGAGGAAGACAGTAGATAGCGATTGACATTGCATTTAAATTTTAAATTATTGTTTCTGTAAAGTAAAATTATTTGACAGTACGTTCACACCCTCGATCATGATGACTTGTGACTTCGCGCTCGGACAACTATCGACAGCTTCCAAACAGTTTCATCTACCCAATTTCATTCACAAAACTTTGACTAACGCGTGGTATTGTTTTCAATCACTTACTAACGGTAGCGCAGGCATTGGATCGCCCCCACCCGCACCAATGGCAAAAAGAAGTCACCTCTCTGACAAATCTACCATAATCCGAAAGCCAATGTTCTAATCATTCTTCCACGCGCCCATGATATACGCATACATAGATATTAACAACTCCAAATAGCTAGCAAGAGAGATAGATATATTCCTGAAAAGAAAGGCAGACAATAAATTGAATTAAAACAAACATTTAAACAGGTGGCAAATCTTCGTCGTATAACAAAAGCAAACAAGACCAGAACGAACAAAAACCGAAAAAAAACCCAGAATAGGAAAAATGAAAACAAGCCCAAATGAAATGCGCTTTTGATCATCGACTGGGACGAAAACACCTGGATTAACGACAATGTTTTTCTTTATTTATCAGTGCCGGCGACCTTTGTGAGATTCTGTTTTCCACACTGAAATTCGGTTGCCACCCTCTTTGTTGTATGGCCGCTGGATTAATCTGCGCAGATCTCGTTCGCGACGAGCGATGTGACCAGGATAGTTATAAAAATAACAGGGAAGTGTTTAACACCAGGAATAGAACAACTGGTCAGATTGATGTACAGCTTAGCAATGTCTCAATGCATATCCTCTTATCTATCATATTATATTAGGTACCTCCATTAGGTCACGTAAAAAAGCAGCATATCACGATGAAAAAAGGCTCATAAATCAACCAAAACAAAGTTTTGTCTCAATATGTTGTTATTAATTGAAAGCTAAAGTATTAAATTTATTACTTACAGTAAGTGACATATTCTGATGTATTTCAAAAATAATTTCATTCATTTCTGAATAAGTCCAGAAAGTTTCATTAAAATCCTACACTTATTTGATTTTTGCAAGAATTTCCTAAATTAACGTGTGTTTTCCTCGGGAAAAGCGTAAAATAAAACAATTTTTTTCTCTCTCTCTTACTGTGCTGTCGTAAAAAAAAAATTTAACCAAAATTTCTACGTGCTAGAAAGGAGTAAAAAATTTCAAAAAATAATTAAAAAATACTTTGGTCTTTCTTCTTCATAACACCATAAACATATTGCGACAAAAGTTTGTTTTCGTTGATTTATGGACCTTTTTTCATCGTGATATGCTGCTTTTTTAAGTGACCTAATGGAGGTACCTATATTATATAGTTTTGTCAACATGCTTTCTAGATACGAATCTACCTTTTTTAGTATGTACCTCCACTAATTCGCTGAAAAAACAGCAAAACATGATAAATGAATGTCCCCAACTTTATAAAAACAAAGTTGTATCGTCAAAATGTTTATGTTATTGTTAAGAGGAAAGACCAAAGTATTTTTTTTAATTATTTTATCATTCTTTTAATCGTTTTTAGCACGTTCGAAATTTTGGTGAAACATCTTTTTTTCTGCACTGCTGGTTGGCATAATATTCACGATTAGTGTTTTAACGCCTTTGTTTTCCTGTGAAAAAATAGTTGTCGGATTTTAATGAAACTTTCTGGACTTATTCACAAATGAATGAAATTATTTTTTACATTTATTTTTTTAGAAAATCTTGATAATTTTATTTTACTTATGTTAGCCACCCCTTAATTTCGAGAAAATAAATTTTAATCGTAACATTTCTTTTATTAGTTTAAAGTAGAACTCCTTGGAGAATGTAAATAATCATTTTTTTTTTAAATTGCATCTCATTTCTCGAATTTCTGCTTTGAATCGTAAAATAGAAAATGTAATAAAACTGACATAATTTAACTAGTTATGTTTTTAATTATTTTTATGAATAAGATTTATTAAGGACGCTATTGTCTTAAGAATCTTTTTCGATGAATAATGAATTTTTACAAGAATTGTTTGATTTTTTTTAATTATAATATTTTATTATAATATATTTTTTATTCTATTTAAAAATTCTACATTACTTTAATTGCGATAGATGAAAACTCTATGTAAATCAAAAATTGAAAAGCTTAATAAAAATCATTTTGTACCAAGATTTTTAAAATAATATTTATTTTTCCTATGTATATAAAATGTTTACATATGCCCATTTTTTAAAAGTATGTTTGACCATACACAATATTATCAGAAAATAAAAGCGATGAATATAGTAAATTTAAAGTCACCATTCCTAAAATTGGATTACAGTGAGTATTTTCCATCACTTTTAAGATCACTGAGTACTCGAAAATTATATAAAAAAGGTACTCATGTCAATTTCTTAAATTATGTTTTATAGATAAAGTCTCCATAGACCAACAATTAATCTAGCATCCTCTAGTCAATCACGTAAAACATAGAGACTGTCGATTATAAACACAGCTAGAGTTTGTTTCAAAAATACATGTCGACCGTATTTTAAAATTAGAGTAAATAATGTTTGATCCCAATTCATATATATATATATATATATATATATATATATATATATGTATATATATATATATATATATATACGTGTGTGTGTGATTATAAAAATATATAGAAAATAGGAAAGAACTCATTAGGTAAAAAATCCAAAGTTCTTTCGTATTTTTGTTATTATTTTTAAAAATAGTGCTCAATACAAAAGTAGAGCATAAATATAATTATTTATTTAAAAATATGATTCCAACGCTACATAAGAGTTCTCATGTTTCAAAACAAGATGCGAAAACTTCAATATAATTATTTGAATTAAATTGAATTAAAGTACTAAACTCTGTTCCATCTTCAAGCGAAAATCCCAGTAAAATTTATATATATATATATATATATATATATATATATATATATATATATATATATATATATATATATATATATAATGAACATAGAAGTCAACACTTAGAGGCGACTAGCATGAAACAGACTGTCGCCTCTAAGTGTTGGCTTCTATGTTTCTTTTATATTTACACACGCTCTATCTCTGATATTGAGCACTTTATCCCATAAATATAGCACACCTTAAGACTATATTTCTTCATATATATATATATATATATATATATATATATATATATATATATATATATATATATTGGCAGCCAATTTTACTTTAAATTGCGAAGAGTTAGATAAAGTACATTGTCAAGAAAAGAGATTATATTTAAATAAATTTTTGTCTTATAAAATAAATAAGGTTAGCTCTCTAGATGAAGTAACAGATGTGATTCATTTGTGAAAATAGTGTTACTAAATTCTGAATTATTTTACTTGCTAATTCTTGACTTATTTAAAAAATATAATAATTTGGGCTAATTTGGTCTACACATTTAAAAGAAATGAATGTGTAAAGTGGACAAATGTTTATCCATCATCTGTATGAAGGCAACTATTGACAAGTGTCTATTTCTTCGTTCCTAGCGTCAAATAAAATATTTGTTAAATTGCATCACCCTTTGAGAAACAGTCTATCTAGAAGAAAGTAACGCACAAACTGTACTCAGTTGCACTGTCTTTCCTAAGATAACGCGGAAATTTTCAGACAATAAAGAAAACGGTTGTGGGGAGAGCTAGTTCCTGAAAGGAGAGGGAACTTAAATGCAATCTTCAGGCCATCTTTATCCCTGATATTAAGAACTTTTAGTCATTCTGCTCTGTCGTTACTTCCATGGAAAGTGCTCGGATGAACTGCATTACTTCGTTCCGCCATTGTTTAGGACTCACCCTGCCAATCACATTGCAGCAAATCAGCCTCTTTGCCTCCGTATCTCAATGGCGAGAAATAAATTCCACTGGAGCAGCTTCTTCCTGCCAACCACATCTCTGTGGAAAAGAACTCCGAAGAAGATGTTTCCTCGATCACTATAACCTGTCTAGGGTTAACCGCTATCTTCGTCGCAAAAACTCTGCCTCTTACTTACTAACCCTCTATCCCGAGTAACCGCTGTTCTTGAACTAGGGGAACCTATTCTAAAATAGCTTATTACATAGTGCGATAGAAAGCCCTCTCGCATGTGAAACAGTCACCTGGGTTGTGCTAATGAACTCCTATAAATGGTAACGGTGTCTTCATCGGGTATTGATTTCTTTTAAATTAGTTGTTAACAGTTAAACGTTATCAGTCATATGATAAAACCACATGGACAGCATTTTTGAATCAAAATTCGTAAAAGCAATGAGTTTTGAAACCCAGGAAATTGAACTATATTATTTTTACTTGTCTTTCCAAAATGAACTTTGGATAATATCTTGACAGAAATTCCCCCTTGTTTAAGAAGGATTCTTCGTAATTTGGAAAAGAGGATGATTGCAATTGACTTAAAATCCCTGTCGTTTTCAAAATAATACACGGAATATATATATATATATATATATATATATATATATATATATATATATATAAAGAAAAACAGACCACTTTCAGGTCAATAATATACAAATACCCCGAACCTGTTATGAATGAAAAGATCCTTGTTTTTATAAATTTCTGCTGCATTAGTTCTTATTTTTACTACAAGCTTTCGTCTGTTCCTACAGACATCTTCAGGTATGGAATAGATGTAATAAGAACTAATGCAGCGGAAATTTATAAAAACAAGGATCTTTTCATTCATAACAGGTTCGGGTTTTTTGTATATTATTTGAATTGT